AACGATTAGTTTGTCATGGGCGGGCGGATTGCTCGTTTCCCTTCGCCGTGCTGCAAGTTTCCCGCGCTGTCATCGTTCGTTATTGGCGGTTGGCTGCCTGGCACAGTTTCGACGACCTTGACCGCGCAGGCCGGCCGCAGTCTGTCCGCATACCTCGTGACGAACGCGCGACTGTAACATCGCTCACACAGTTCGCGCTTTCATTCAAATATAAACTAAAATGGTAAGTCTAAACATTAATTAAAAGGACACGAATTATCATAAAACAGATTTAGCTAATTGAAATACATTTGAGGTTATAAATAATGTAACAGTTTCTATTTATATTATCGATGGTGTTGTATAATCGGTCGGGCAATTTTCATACGAAGGCTACACTATCTGAACACGATTCAAAATAAAATTATTGTTTCCGTCTGTATGTAAATAGATATCATAGATTCTTTTTATAAGTTACAGAATTTTCGTTATATTTTAACTTGTTACATAAATATTACCTTTAGCAATTACCCTTTATATGTCCATTTTCAAAAGTTGGTATCATTTAAAAGTGATATAAATAGGATCTGTATTTGAGCCTGTGCAAACTGGCCCCTAAATTATTATTTTTTATTTATAAACTACTTCAACAAAAAAGGTTCTAAGACAGGTTCGAAATGCGTATTCTTGAATAACGTACACTTTTTTAAATTGTGTTACTTAATGGTTTTTTATTTTAATTAGCTTCAATGTTAAACTGTGATGACATTCTTGCGATAATATTTTTTATAGATTCCATATGACGTTTTGAGGTGTAGAGAAATAAAAAAAAAATAACAGTATTAGACCTTAACATGGCATAGATACCTTGTTTAATATTTGAAAGAGTGATCAATAGACATATTTCTAAGAAACGAGGTCAATCACATCAAAGAATTTACTGAAAAAATCTTTAAGACCCCTCTTGTAGTATATAAAGTAAAAAAAAACTAAACGTTTATTATAAAAGTGGTACATTATTCCCTCGGATACAAACTAACTCCCATGTTCGTTAACTTTAGGAAACGAAAAAGGATGTAAAATGGTTAATTATAGCGGTAATTTATCCATTCATATATGATATAAATAAATAAATATTAGTCATCTCATCACATACATTTTACTCAGATTCCAAGATGAGTACAAAATTTGTGTTCCTTACTCAACCCGCAACAATTAATTTCATTTTAAATTCCTTATTCATTTAAGTCTCCGTATTAAGGAGTACCTGACACAATGAAGATACACATCACCCAGACCCAGGACGATATAGAAAAGTTATTTTTACCAAAGTAGATCACGTTTCAATCGATAAGATAATCTGAACACGAGATTCTTAAGTAGGTATACAATATCACTACATAATACGAGTATAATGTTACTTTCCGTCTTTGTCATACCCTGTTTCTTTTAGACCTTTAAATACTAAAACATGCAAAGGATTTTGATGTGGTTTCCATTATTGGGTCGGGAAATTGTTTTGAGTAAAGGAATATTTATCATTCATGCGAAGCCGGGGTGAGACACTAGTCAAAATCATGGCTTGGAAACCGGTTTATTTTTTGAACCGGTTCGACATAAGTACATGCGGAACTTTACATAAAAGGTTCAGCTCCTTTGAACAGGTTTTTAAACTCAGTTCACTAGAAATACGGTTTTCTTCATTAACCGGTTTAAATATGACTCCAGACAATGATCTCACAAACTTCAGCGCGGTTTTTAAGTGCCTACACTCCTATCTATAACATCCGTACACAGGTACGATTAATGTCGTCGCGTGAAAATGATATAATTCGCATTTAAAGCGTAAGAACATTGCTTTTTACGAACCAAGCGAATTAACCGGTTTTTATTCCATCCGAATTTCACTCCGCATTTAGTTCCGATCCGGAACGGAATATTATAAGAGAATAGGTTTTACTTAAATAAAAACGGTTTATTCTGAACCGGTTTCAAGCCCTGGTCAAAATCGAAATAGGTCGATTCGTTTTAGAGATACGATGCCACAGCATAGCATATGTGTTCTATATAGGTAAAAGTTACAAATCCTGACCCGAATTCAAATTAAGTTTATCGAATCTGTAGCGTTTGGGAATTATTATTCGTTTGTAATTGAAATTGGTTTTAATAAACAATTCTTACCTCTTATTTTAACCAACACAGTTATTTTAGCAGTTTCACTGACAACGACATTGTCAAGATAATTTGGACAATACGAGGGTCTTCCTTAATGTAATAATATAGACAAAAAGAAGGATGATGACTGGATTTAGTTTGGTTGTGCATTATTGAAAAATATTAAATACACTTTTTGAAATTATTTGTGTAATTTATAAATTATATTGATTTAAAATGTCGCATGATGGTGACGTCATACAAAATCGTGAGCGTTTGTATATAAGTATTTTCTTCGAAGTGACGTATCGAGCCCTCCTCAACTTTAATGCCTATTTTATGTAAGTCATTTTTTGTTAAATTGATGCAAAAAATACTAATCTAATATTTTTCTATTAGGTATCTAACTGACTGACTGAATAGAATTTATTCATCTTTCCCTCATTCCAGAATTTACATATTGATTGTATCACTGAAATATCTATTTACTCATTATTTGACATGTTGCACAACACCACGTTAAGATTATTTATCAGAATGGTAATAAGCGTAAGTTTTACGTTAACGCGTTTACTAGTGAGCGCCTGAAGAATTTGTATTGAGATTTGTAGTTCTTGGCAGTTACCGCTAGGGGCCGCTGTACTGGTTTACGATCGACGGAGAACATAAATTTTAAAAACACTCGCTCGGATCATTTTGTGAATAGAGTACGTATAAAAATTCTTTCGACTTTGGCTTTTCGCATTCGGACTGCTGTCTGTAAAAGCCAAGTCCACAGAAGTGTACAGACAGCAGACAAAGCATCGTTTATATAAACAGATTTCATCTATCCCTACCGGTAACTATATAACTATATATAGTTACCGGTATAACTATATTTTTTTTAAATCCTAGTATCCCTACCAATGGGGATTTGTCAGTATGGATATGTGGAATAGGGGAAAAAATTATGGAAAAGCGATCAACAGTATTGTTATTTTTTTAACAATATAACAGACAACGAAGCTGCCAAATAACAAATTACACAAATGACATATTTATGTGGTCGAATTAAACAGAATAGCACTTGAGTTTTGTTATGTTAATAATATTGTTTTATATACCTACGAGGTCTAGTTCTCTATTTATTTCATGATAAATTGTGTAATAAAATTTAGCGGCGCGTCTTTTCACCGCCCACATAAATACACCGCTGATTTTTAAACTTAAAACAATTTTTTAGCTTTCTTTATTTAATTTACGGAGCGGCAAAACCAAACAGCCGGAGTGGCAAAATACCCGGCAACTCTACCGCGTAACTGAGCGCTGATATATCTGTCAAAATGAAGCATTGATTGATCTGGCAGGTAATCCTAGACCTAGCATCCTAGCACAGACCAATAGTGAGGGGACTGTTAACATGTCGCCTGAAAAAACATTTGAGAACTCATGTGACATATCAGCCAGCGCTTTAGTTGGTCGGACGTAAAACCTCAAAATGGGCCACTTACCTCAACAATATGTCACTTTTCTACTTATTGATTATATCAATCATAAAAACGTTCGAATAATGTTTCTTGAAATTAATAATTTGATTAGGTTAAAACTACCATACTTAGGTACTAACAGTTTATTTACCTATGATGTTACCATACTGAATTTTTTATCACACAACTGTTCTTACTGATTCTTAAATCATCAAATATTAAGTATCAACAATTGTATCTAGAGGAAACTAACCAAACATAGAATACTAAAATTATTTTCTAAAATAATTATTTAAGAAATTAATATACTTTGAAATAAGCCAAGCTAGACTAGCCAAATTACAATTTTCCCCCCAATTGGGAATAATTTAAGAAGAAATTTCAATATTTCATATTAGGAATTATATTCCATATTCAGTTACTTTCCTCTATTACTTAAAAATACTATTACAGTTTAACTAATGGATTAATATGTTTTAACCAGTGACATCGTACGAGTCACTAAACCATTGAAGAGACAAATATAAGGTAATATATTTATTTCTTTATGAAATATAATCATGATGCGATAAGCAAACAAAGAAATGATTGAAAATAATAATCTTTAGCAACACGAGAGTGCAGCTTCCGTAATCTAGGCACTTTGGTACCGGCCATACATAAAAGTAAATCGCTGTCGAAATACATAGAAACTCCTCCTTTTCGATTTTGAAGTTGGTTAAAAATGACTCACGAGAACATTGTGCTTTGATAAGCAAGTTGAGCCTGAACCGTCTACGATTACAGATGCTACAGATATCCATGTGGTAGGTTATAGTCCATTCTCCCTTTATGATTTCATGCATAGGTAATGCCTATCCCATAACAGTGGAGACGTTTAAGCTGATGATATTCTATCATCATCAGCCCTTTTACGTCCCCACTGCAGGGGTTCAGACTTAGAACTTAGCTCGAGATAATAACTTTTTGGTCACACATCCCGTTACCGACCGTTGCGAAAGGTGCTTAACAATTACGATCGTGGGCCGCGGCGCTTATCCTCTACGCCACCGAGATGATATTGAAAAACAATTATATCTTTCTGTTACTTTTTTAATCGTAAAATAAGTACAATTTTATTTATGGTAGGAAATATTCACCCAACGAACAAAAATTCATTATAAAAAATCATAGATAGATGTTTCTTTTGAAAATATATTTTCTTTGATACCCTATTTCACGTTTAATTAAAACAGGACATCAACACCGCACGTGTATTTTTTTAATAACAAGACGGTACCAAAACAAACAACGTATGTACGTTTTCGGCTCCCTACCTCCATCTAATCCAGATTTCCTGAAGGTCATCAGTCTGACGAACTATCGAACACATAAAACTTGTTGTTTTCTCCAAAATAATCCAGTGCTAAACCGGGTACCGAGCGGATACCATCCTTGCCAGCTGGCAAAAAAATAATTTTAAACACAAATAAATCTCTAGCCTTGACCAAGTCACGATTAAATGAAAATCGGGAATAAAACTAGAGATTTCGTGTCCCGGGACTGTTTGTACCTTGTGTTGTTGGCATTAGGTCTATGGTTTGAAGCGAATTGTTATTTCTACAAGACACATTTTCCACAGGTAATTTTGATTTCCACAAAACCTATACGTTTATGTTGAACAAATTTCTCTTGTCTTATATTTCTGCAAATTTAAGCACAATTCATCAAATACATGGAAGCTTTATAAATTAAACAGGAGCTTTTTTAACCCAGTTTTCCCCAGAATCCAAAAAGTGTTTCGCTCAGGTTATACTTGACCGATTTTTAAGATATGTTATGACATGGCCCATATGCCCATGGTATTTAAAATTCTTTCAAACACTCAAAGAAAGATTTTCTATGTTCAACGAGTATGTAAGTAAACTTTACTCTTTGATGTATATTTTTTATTAAAGTCATAGATAGTAGGTATCATTGTGTAAAGTATATATGTATATAGTTATAGTATGGTATGGTATGTTCATTGATTTCTTCGTAAATTGTGAACCAATTTTTGTCAAACTATGCCTGCGTAAATTATAGTCTATGTCCGCAGCGTATTATGTAGCTTCCCGTAGATGAAATACTTTTATTAATCGGTCCAATAGTTCCGGAGTCTATCCAATGCAAACAAACAAGCAATACAGATTTTTGGGAAAAAATTAAATCGAGCTAATAAACTAAATCTCCTATTCTAAGACTCTCGCTAGGTTAGATATAGTAGGTATATTTTACATACATATTTTCTCATGTAACGTCATATCTGTGCATTCATGCTCTTACGCACGAACGGTCATTGTCAATGTCCCGCCGAAAATAAATCAGAACATTTAATTTAAATTGGTCTGTGTGACGCCTTTCGACACGCGCAGTTTTATGTAAACAAAACTATAACATGTATTTTCACAACAATAAATTTTATGGTTTATTTTAGAAATGGAACAGCATTTCTAAGAATGTATCTATTGGATATACCTGTTCTAAGATAGGAGGACTACGTTAATCGGACCGTTACCGAAAATTATGAAACTGTATGGCTGTTAAGAATCAGCCATAATCAAGGCATACATGACATACTACATTAATACATACAGATTCCAAGTAGCTAAAACCCTGATAATGAAGTATCCGAACCAACGAACAACGTCCAAACTGTTGAATAAAAGTTCGGCCAAAACATGTAAATCGTCTTGCGATCTACTCAGTCACAAGAGTAATAAATACTCAGCGACAGAAGTTGCAATATATTTTTCAAATAAAGTAAATACGTAGTGAACAGAAAAGGAAAACAAATTATATTCATTTCAAAAGTGTAATACAAAAGACACGTAACATTGTAGAGCTTATCCCTGTTCCTAATGGATGCAATTAAAAAACACAGCTGTTTCTAGCATCAATCACGGGATCAATCCATTTCCCGGTTGTTCTTGAACAACATCCAAAAGCAGTTACTATCTGAAGGTAAAGTAACATCTTTTAGACTAGCTTTCAGTTTACCAAGGTCGTATTCAATTCACTCGCCAGGCGACAGGTAGAGTTTAATGCATTTGCCCAACGCGCGAAAAAGTTTCCTTCATTGCACGTGAAGAGTCGGCTGTTTTACTCCAGCCAACCAAAATTCACCCAAAATAAATATAAGAATAAGAAATACTAGAAATCATATTTTGTATTGTATATTATACAATACTCCTGACTACTGCTACGAGTACTAATACTGGACCTGTTTAGGTTTTTGGGTCACTTAAATAGATATTCGTAGATCAGTATTAGACCCGCGTAGTTTTCAAGCCCTTATTTAAATCTTTTGTTTTTTTAAGTTGATTGTAAACCACAGATATTATCGTTTATATCATTCGAACTTAAACCAAATAGGTACAAAGTAAAATGTTCTGGAATGAAAAATGTTAAATATTATGACAGTTCTTCGCCATTCTTCACCTTGTTTATTGTCAAAACTAAATTACATAAGAAATTCTTTATGTATTCAAATTTAACGCTTAAATATGAACTGAAGTGAATCCATTTAGTAGTTACACTATCCAAATATTTCTTTATACAAATATGGAGGATAAAACATGCTACCCGTGCGATGAACCAGTAATTGACAAGATTCCTCCGTGTCCTTTACAATGCATGTCTCCAAAGTGCAAGGCTTATATGGTATACAAACATGAAATTCTAATCTATCTGGCATATTCTACATATATATAGGTAAATGTCGGATTGGCCGGCTCTGGGACGACATCATAGGGGTTTCTTTTGTTTCTTTATTTTAGTATTTCTGTGTGAGCGAAAGAAAACGTTAGGGAATGCTAATAACTTTTCTCAATTAGTATTTAACAATTATCAAACTTTGAATTTACTTCTATAGAGTTACAAAATGATAATTAATAAACCCATTATAAGAAAGACTACGTTGAGCGAGATGAATGCATAGTATCACCCATGATCCCGAATCTAAACCTTTAAGTAGTCGTCTTATAATAATTCGAATACAATATATTATATCCCTTTCGACATTCGAAAGAATATCTGACATTTTAAATTTGGGGTTAAGACTAATTAATGCTCTATACCAGATAGATACACGGAATACAAAAGTCAAAAACCTTTCTGCTAGCGATTTCTGGTGCACCCCTAAAACGTGATGCTCTAAGCAACTACTTATTTTCTCAACGGAGAGATTTGACGCACTGACTACTTTTAGATATAGTACTGTTAGATTTATCCGAAATATATTCATATATAAACCAAAGGAGACTGATTGACTAGTTTATTAACATGCAACTCAAGCTACTAGACGGATCAAGCTAAAATTTAGCACACTAAAACATAATGCATAGGAGTTTACTAAAAATGAAGCTGAAGGTTAAATGAAGTTTAGCACATATTATAAAGAAAATTAACCCGCATTGCGTGTCATAGCCGGGTTCTCTACGTCAGGGGTCGACAACCTGCAGGTCGCGAATCACATGCGTCTTTTTATGCGTTGTTTTATTATGAACGCTCTTGAAATCATGCGGTCAATCCATAATTTAGTACTAGTCACTATATCGTCTATATCTCACGTCTATATCTCGAATTGGAAACGGTCTTTAGGTTAGACCATTTACCAAGGCACTGGCTTCCAATAACGTCTTTAAGAAACGATGACCATACTATTAAAGTTTTGTTGAAAACTTTGTACCGAGCACTTGTCGGCCCTTCCAACGCTAATCGAGGCATACCTTATTTCTCCAAATAATAACTAAAGTCATTATGTAATGGAAATCTGAAGAAAAGTTCATTTTTCTGCATCAGTAATCAAATCTGAAAGATTGCGATGCCACTAAAACCAACAAACTACTCCACGGAACTCGTCAACCTGAAGTGATTAGTTGTGAAGTTTGTTGTAAGATTGGGCAACCTTATACAGATCAGCTATTGCAAATAAATAATAATCAAAGAAACTCCTACTTATATCTGAATTTTTTTTTATTCAATTAAACTTAAAAGAGTATCTGGAATTTTAATAAACAATTGATGTGTAATATAAAAAATATTATAAAATATTAAATTCACGATGAGACTAATGTCATGAACCTCTGATATATTCCAGGCCCCTATTGACACTTCGAAGAAACCTATCATATGGATCCTGGGCGGGCCGGGATCTGGGAAAGGCACACAATGCGAGAAGATCATTGCGAAATACGGCTTCACACATCTGTCCACCGGCGACCTGCTGCGAGCCGAAGTGAAAAGTGGCTCGGATCGCGCCAAGTGTCTCACCTCTATCATGGAGCGGGGTAAGTACTGTTAGAGGGAAAAAAATCTACTACTACTGACAGCACTAATTGTCGATTTCACTACGGGTATCCGGCCTATATATTATTAATTGAGCCGTATGTGACCTATATATATGCTGATCTCATAAAAATCTTGAGACCGTTTTCACGTGGAGAGCAACAAATTTTAAAGAAATATAGATACAAAAGATTAATTATAATAGTTTGGTAAAAGACACATAGCAGACAGCTGTTGCCTTTCCCACTTTATAATGTATCGATTGGAAACTTCGTTGTTAGAGCAATACAGTACATACAGTTAAAATAAATTATAGGCTACGATAGCATTGATATACTTCAAAATCCGTATCTAAACTTTAAAATATCATCATACACTTCAAAATTATGGTAACACAAAAATCCATCCTCATGGAGCATAGAAAAGATGGCGCCATACGAAGTTTTTGCCCCGTTTAATAAAAACCGCAGATCCGGGCCTGTTTTTTATTCATTAAATGACCATATTTTTTCTTATATATCACCTCTCTTATTCTTATTCGATTCTATCGATAGAAACAAATTATAGACTGATTATGATGATGAAATGGGCAATGTAATGTTAACTAGGTGAACTGGTGCCCAACGACATTGTACTGGACTTACTGAAGGAGGCGATTCTGGCCAATGCGGCGCAGTCCAAGGGCTTCCTCGTGGACGGCTACCCACGCGAAAAGTCACAAGGCATCGCTTTCGAAAAAGCTATAGCACCTGTTTCTGTGAGTTCTACGCATTATTGACATATTAAGATAGGTAGATCACAGATCACTCGTAGTAGTTTTTTCAATATGTGCCATCAATGGGATTATTTTTTAATAAGTAAATACATTTGTGTTTGGGTGTGATACCTCCGTAGTCTCAGGTACTCTATAATACAAGCCCCCGTATTATGGAGTACCTCATCTTGGAAACTGAGCAATATATGTGATAATGATTCTAATCTTTATTAATTTTTATCAAGGCAATCACAGTCTAGACTGTTACGAGCACTTGCGAAAGTCGAAACTCTATGCCATCAGTACCATAAAAAACTGGCAAGAAACTCGGCAAAGGCTATTTTAATAGATTTTAGTAATCATTTGTGGTCTGATTATTTCTATAACGGTAGAATAGTAACGACACCTTGTCTCATTTTGTGTAAATAACATTGTTCTGGGGTATCTAATTAAAAAAGTATACGCTCCAAGCACTCTGATATAGCACATTAAATTGTAAAGCTTTATATGCTATATACCTGTACGACTGCGTAGCATCATATATTTCATCCGTGCGTCAGATGACGGATTTACACGAATAGTGTTGTATCATGTTTATGGAATTTGGGCAAGTGAACATCGATGGTCGGTAAATCTACATCAGTTTTGAGTTGTCGCATTCGAATAGCAGATGTTAGTACCCGCCACTATATTTTGAAAATATGACTACTCTATTATATTTATGTTTGCCATAACTTACAAATCTCCTGTGTTTTTCTTATTCACTAGATGTTTTTCCGTGACTCCATCTGCGTAAATTATATCATATTATTATGTTGATATAGTATCCTTTAGGTGAAAGTTTTTTTTTTTAATCGGTCCAGGATTTTCCGAGTTATAATATTACTTATTCATAAGCCTGTACCACTTGACCCTGCTTTCCAAATTTTTTCAATCCCCTAATTATCCATCCCTTAATTCAGGTGATAATCTACTTCGAGGCGTCACCAGATACGTTGACGAAGCGGTTGTTGGGTCGCGCCGAGAGCTCGGGACGCTTCGACGATAATGAGGAGACCATCAAACTGCGCCTGAAGACATTCCTCGAGAACAACGACCAAGTGCTGGCGCAGTACCCGGACAAGATAAAGAGGGTGAGTCATTTTACTACAGGATGGATAGTACCTATTAGTTGCATATTTTGTAGTACACACCACTTGGCGACATGGTCAAGTCATCATCAATCACAGTTTGATGTATTTATGTTGCCTCTACAACAATGAATACTAAAAGCCTGATTAAAACAATTATTTAAGGTGGTACCCGTACAACAAATATGATATTTTGCTTATTTTTGCTCGATATTGATAAGGACAACAGAAGGTCTGTCACCATTGATTCGTGAGGAAAGCATAGCACTATACTCCATTCATTATAACATTAGAAAAAAGAGGGTCAAAGAAGCAGCAGTGTAGAACATTTTAATTTAAAGATAAATTTTTAAAAAAAGTTTGAACTAGTTTGAACTAAAACAACATTAAAAAGCTGTACTGCCGAAACGTTTGAAGGGATTAGGCAACGTTTTAAATTTGATAGAGTTATAGTGACATTAGAATCGTGCCGAAACTATCCAACCCTGCTTCTTTAGGTTCTTAAATATGAACACTTTTGATTGTAATAGTTATCAAATCGTTTAAGTTAGTCAAATACTCATAAATTTGTTTATTAGATAGCTTCAATGACAACAGTTAAATATAGCAACTGGTATTTAAGTGGATATGTAGCAAATTAGCCGTCAGTCTTAAGAGTAACATGATTATTGATATTTTGTCACAAAGTCTACCATAAAAAGAACCTTATTTAACTTCTGTCTAATGCTTTAATGATTGGAGTATAATAATATTGGACTGCAGGTAGATGTACAATGGCAAAATGCAACTAGTTGAGATTCTATTGAGATATTACATATTAATCATTAGCAGAATTGACCTACAGGTAGACACTTAACATATGTATTTTTATAGCAGAATAGCGTTGTTTTCCTTGTTTTTTAATAGCGTGTCTGCTCATTCAGCTATTTGTTTGGATAATGTTTCTTCAGAACATAGTCTTACATCCAAGCACGCAGATTGAAATAACCTATGAGATCAAAGATTACAAATCTAAATAAATTTGGTCATTTAACAAACGAATACGATCTAGTCGAGCAATATGTAGAGGACAAATAGTTCAAACACCATAGTCACGTGAGATCTTGACGTACTTTTACCCGTCTACGGCGAAGCGAAAAGTAGGGTTAGGATTTTGGCCGGTGTATGTAAGAACAGTTGTTTTGTTATGATCAGTGGCATGCGACTACGCTATCCTTTGGTCATCGCTATAATAATATAGCTATCACTAATAAATTTCTTGTTATAAACCTTTTTGAACGTGATTTAACTATAGTCGGGTTTTAGTTTCTAAACGTATCTTTTTTATATAATTAATTTATCTCATTAATAATTTATTCAATCGAAATTTCCTTTCCAAAACGTAGAAACTACAGTTTTATGACTAGGCTATGGCTGATGTTTACAAAAGTAGACACATACTCTAAGACTTGTACAACCTGAGAAAACAACTTTTCGCAAAAGAACAATTATAAAAGCTTACCCCAAGTTATTCAAAAAGTTTCTGCGTTAAACATTGCAGCAATCATCCAAAGCACTTTGAATATTACAAATAGTGAAACTGGTTAAAAGACCACATTACGATATATTGGTGATTAGTTTCAATAACATACTTGTTGAATCTGAACAGAGTTGGTACAATTTTTTTATGGAAATTTCGTAAATAGCGCTCCGTTCGAAGTAACATCTAGTTTGAATTCTTCACCGAAGGCTTCAATGTTTTTTGCTCAGTAAATGTGTGCCAAAATACTGACACCTTAGCTAAGTTCGATTTTTATCAAACCCAAAAAATGACAACTAAAAACTATGAAGATATTCAGACTATTTTTTATTGATTATCAATTCATTCCATCAGATAAATGCTGAAACAACGGTGGACGTCATTTTCAAAGAAGTGCAAGAAATCCTTGACCCTCTGATGGCGAGCGCTGCAGCTGCAGCCAACTAATGCACGCATAATGACTAGTAGACAATTTGTACATATTATTGTTAATTTTTACCTATTTTAATTAAATGTTTTTATTCTGTTTCTCCTTTTTTTGTTCGTACGTTAAAATTACATTTTCAGCAAAAAAATATAAAATTATTAAGTTGATCTCAAATTATCTACATCATCAAAAATTACTACCAAGATATAAGGGGGACAGGGTAAAACATGAATTTAATATATTTTTCAATTCGACAACTTTATAAAGTTTAATATGTATATCCCAAAACAATGATAACGATGAATGAATGCCATCCGGCTAAAACAGAGGATAACAGAATAAACGACACAAGCACCAATGGACCCCGCATCCGCCATTTATCCATCACCCCATCACTGCGCATGCCCAACACTTCGCGAGAAGCACGTTATTAAAAGATATTTTAAAATTATTATAATTCTTTATTCTTATGTATTACTTTTCTCATATTTGGTTTTCTATTAACAGATTTTGTATGAAACTGAATTTACTTAAGAAATTGACTCATTATTTATAATTTTGCGGTCTTATCATGATCTGATAATAAGATCCCTTTCAGAAGTGATTTTAATTTTTTTGAAGTTAATGTAACAATTGTATAAAAACAAACAGTAGTGTTTTATCAACACGGTTCATATGACACCAGGAATTCCATCTCTGTATGAGGGATATTATTTGTCATGAAAATTTCAAAAATCATATATCATAATCATAACATTAAAATAGTGCGCGAAGATTTAACGAAGTAACTACCGAATCAACTGCTAATAAAAGTTTAGAAGATTTTGAATGTGGACAAAAGAAAAGACTAATGTAAAAAGTTAAAAATTAAGTTGTATTAACAAAATTTAAAACATCACTACGAAAATCACTTGTCTTCTCCGCCGGCTGTTATTGCAACGTCGTCAGGCACAGGTGTGGGAGTGAGAACGGATACTGGTGCAGGGGCAGGCGTAGAAATGGCAGCTTGAGCAGAGATGGGAGCATTCGTGACCGCAGGAGCGGATATTGCTACAGGTGGTTCGGGGGATGTGGATTTCTTCTGACTCTTCTGTATGGTATCTGATAGGATCTCCTTGAGCGTCGTCGCTAGAGCTTTAGGGTTTCCTGTACTATCCACCTAAAGATGGTGGAAAGATAAATAAAAAATCTGCTTCGTTTTTAATATCCAGACAAAACTAACCTAGTTAAAGAGGCCTACAAAGAAATATTTCCACGCGGAAGGCATCTCAGTACACTAGCGGCAAAGTTTTGTAAACTTTGGCATATATATGAGAAACAAGATTACAGTTTTTCTACCATCTGATAAAAAATATTTTTCGCAATAGATGTTTTAGGAATTATTTTATTTACCGTAACCACGTGGCCACCGAACCGTTTGTGCACATTCTTGACTTTGTGCGCCGCCTCTTTGACGATTTGGTGTGCTGCATTTATTTCAGACTCTGGTCTTCCTAGCTCCGATAGTTTAGTTTGTAGTCGTGAAGCTGCCAACTGAAATATTTTAGGTAAGTTTCATTTTATTTAACGTTTCTATATCCACATATATTGTCTATATTTATTTATTTATGCATTTTGTACACACATATAATTGAAAAAACACTTAACAGTCATTTGTACAAGTAGAGTAGAGTTGAATTAACAAAACTGATTGCTAGCTTTGAGAATGCTATAGCTAATAATAAGTTTAACTTTCAATTTAATTTGGGAAAATATTCTTACCTCATTATCTACTTCTAGAGCAACGATTTTCTCTGGCCACTTGACCTGTCTGTTGAATATGTTGGACATCCTAGGGTTCTTTGGGAATCCAACCAGAATAAAACCCGTGGCATCCTTCTGCATGAGCATCGCTTCTTTTATTAAATCCACTGTAAGTTGCTGTAAGGTTTAAGAACATTTAAAAAAAACTTTGGCAGTGATTGATAAAGATCAAAGATTTTAATGTTGATAGAATATTTTTGTATACTTAGCAAATGCGAAAATTAATTGTAAATCTCGATTCCAATATTCACGCAAATGTTGGAAATAGGAAGTTAGGTAATACAATCTAAAAGCACCTCCGATATTTCTTCCCTCGCCTGTAGTTTATCGGCAATAAGTCTTCCTCTCGCGGTGTCCTTCTGTGCCTCTGCAGCCACTAGTTCACCGGGCCTGATCATCGAGTACCCGGTGATATTTGATATGGTCTGTGCTACCGTGTGGTTGCCGGCGCCAGGAACTCCGTTCACAAATATGACTGGCAAATGCCTTATTGGTGTCATATCGTATAACGTATCCTCCTGGAATAGTTAAAGTTTATTTATATCAAACTAATAAGTAGCTGTCAAAAGTCAAAATAATCTTTATTCAAATAGACTTCTTAAAAGTACTTTTGAATCGTCCAACATTTTTTCCCTACCACTCGTTCAGAACGTCTTTTGGCTGATAAGAAGAACTGAAGAAGATATGTGGCTGTTGAGCCACATACTACATATATTCTTTATTTTTGTAAAAAATAAGCTTACAATTAGGAATAGGTAGATGAAAACTCAACGTTCAAAAATGTGTGTTTGTTTCTAAGGTTAATAGGAAAATTTCTGCTCTGTTCTTTATTTATTCTGTGGTAAGGATTTCATGGCATAGATTATTTGGATTTATTATTATCAATATGTATTAGAGTCGGTAGGTTTAATCCTACAATGGTCTCAATTTATAAAGTGACTACCTTAGGGCTTGAGGTTACTAAGCTATCTGCGTTGACAAGCAACTACTTATTTACATAAACATAAGTTTATTTACTCACCTCATCCATTCGCTTAGAGTAAAGACAACCCATTTTATCTAAATATACTATACTAAAAACTATTAAATAACGTTTGTTTCGCTAAATATTCTCAATAAAGTTAGCGAAGTAAAGTGACATCTCCAAATAAATGACAATTGTTTGAACGTCTAGATTTTTGACGCTTTTCGAACTACTTTACCTATTTTTATTTTCAGACAGCTATTATTATGATAGTGACTAGAGGTCTATGCATTGAAATCATGTTGCAAAGATCAGGTTACGCATTAATTGTAAGTTTTGTTTGGTTGACAATTAAGATAACAATGAATTACAGAAAGTTTCCTAAATAAGAAACTGATGTTCTGTTCTGTGAGTTCTATTAAACTGGTTTTTCTAATAGATAATACATGTACCTTATTGTCAAAATCAAGCAACTAGCATATTCTTTGGCCACGTAAAGAAAGTGGAGAGTGAACGTAAAAACGAAGGAAATATCATACAATTTCCGAGCCAATGTGACAGAGATAAATGATAGCAAATCTAATTAATATCTAGCTAAATCTATGAACGAGTATCCACGCAACTCGTAAACATTAAATATCAAGCTTAGTTATATTAATCAATGAGTTTTAAATATTTTTATAGAGATAAAATATAATTTCTGCAGAGAAAAAAACATTTCTCTTTAGTCGACTCGTATGAGTCTTTATCGACTCTTACCAATTTTGTCTTATCAAGCATATTTTTTTACATATTTTGATCAATCTTTTTATTAGATTTGGTATACCAATGTAATGGTAATTGCAAGAGTAATTCGGTAGCGTAGTGGATAAGCGCCGAGGACCCCGATGGCTGTTGTTAGGCATCTTTCGCAGGATGACTGACCAAAATAAATATTATCTAGAGATACTTCGTAATACCATAAGGAAGGCCTGAACCCCTGCAGTGGGGACGTAAAAAGGCTGATGATGATGATGAACTGAAAATAACACAGACATTTCCCAGCTCTGTGTCGCAGCGTTGCTTAACCCGGATATAATAAACAAAACTTTTTGTTAGGGAAAATTGGGGGAAAACGGTCCGTGTGGTGAACACGGCCCTTCGCTCTTCCCCTTTTCTGCGTCAAAATGACCAAGAAGTTTATATATTTTAAGTTTCTTGTAGACGACCTAATTCATACATTAAAGAAGTAAAATTTGCATATTTTTCCATTCGATTCTTATCAACTATGATGGCAATGGCTGGACGTTATACCGAATCATGAATTTAATTAACACAACTCACATCTTTCATCATTACCTATACCATATCATGAAGGTCACTTCTATTTAGGTATATACGATTGGAATAGAAGAATACTTCCGGAACATAAATAATTATCTGACCTTCTACGTCAACTGCAATGGGTGAGAATGATTAGCTGGAATATAGTTCTAGAGATACAAATACATGTATCTCCGTATCATTCGACGCATTTGCTGCTATCGAAACAACTTGTAGCTCTGCTAAAAAGATATTTTGATATTCATTTAGCTTATTTATTATTCAATTATTATTAGATAAGATCATTTGAATTTAGACAAATTACTGCTGTGTAATCTGAACTTATGAATTATTACTATAGACATTTTAACCGATTAAAACAAAATGTAACAAGATTGAGGAAACTCTAGAGTTTCATCTTAAGTTAGAACGACCATGTGTTTGATAATTTCCTTGATTCTGACGTCTGTTTACACATTAATTACGGCTAATATTTCTTGCGATAATGAAACACCGAGAGTCCCCAAATATTATTTGATGGAGAAGTGTCACCGCTCTAAGCTTGGCATAGCTGCAAAAGCTAATTACTCCTCCTTGTCCAGTTGCTTCAGATTAGGCATGGCGAAGAAGGCGCTAGCATTGAATTTCAGCCCTAATGATGCTGAAGGGAACGAAACATTGGAATATACGTGCGAGGTGCTTAAATGTGCTGAAGTTGACGGCGGTGTATCTCTCACCAACGATTCAAGATACGATTATTATAGTTTATATGCTAAACCTATACGTAAGTACAGTTTTAATAATATTATATTTACAATTAAAACGAAAACGAAATATTTTGACTTTGACTTTAAATTTGCTATAGCTCAGTTTGAATAGCGATAGGTTGAACCAACGATTCAAGATACGATTATTATAGTTTATATGCTAAACCTATACGTAAGTACAGTTTTAATAATATTATATTTACGATTTAAACGAAAACAAAATATTTTGACTTTGACTTTAAATTTGCTATAGCTCAGTTTGAATAGCGATAGGTTGCGGAATCAAACTTCTACTAAAATTACCTCCAATTAAATTGTTATTTATACTATAAATCACTTATAAGAATAAACACAATACACTCTTTTGAGGTTGTCATGTGAAGAAAACTTTTATTCTTAATAAAAAATGCTTAATAAATCCCCTTTGTCACTGAGACTTTGATGGAATCCCACGATATTTCGCAATTCGGATGACTGCCTTATCCATTGAGCAGGACTGACGAATTTTTAACCACTTGTCACTTTTTACACTACTACAGATCGTATTGAAAGAATTATTTATACAAATATTTTCGATAAAGATGAAAATTTGTTCTAATTATATATTTGTTCAATTTTACATTCACAATCATCACCAGCCTTTTTACGTCCCCACTGCAGGGGCTCAGGCCTTCCTTATGGATGGTTAAGGAGGATGGACCATGATCCTCCACGCTGGCCCAATGTGGATTGGAGGGTAAGCAGCCGGGACCAACGACTTAACATGCCTTCCGAAGCACGGAGTAGCTCGAGATATTTTTTATTTTTGGTCACCCATCCCCTGACCGATACTTGCGAAAGTTGCTTAACGACAACTAACTCACGTTCACAATGCCATAATGGAAAATATGATTAATGAAAAATGCTTAAAACATGTATCTGACATCTCAGAGCGCTAGGAACAAAGTAGATTTTTTAAGCATTTTTCATTAAAAAAATATTTTCCATTTTTTTTATTTCAATTAATATAGCATTGTGAATGCGAAAATAATCTATATTTAATATTTAAGATATTTAACCAAAAATAAATAATAATGTTGTTTACAAGAGAACCAAAACTTCGCCCAAAATGAATCAAGTTGACAAGATTTCAAACTTAAGTGAGGTAGTGGTGAAGTGTTGATGTGATTAGCGATTACCTTTCGTTTTTCAGCAAATGTTAACACAACCTGTGTACCAACCATAGGCATTTTTCAACTACTTCCAAAGAAGTTGAACTTTTCCCAGGCGGTGGAAGAGTGTAAAAATATAACCGCACAGCTGCCAGACGTGACGAGCGAACAGAGGACTGACGCCCTAGCGCAGGTTTTAACAGGAGCGTCAATCGATGCTGCATTTGTTGGGTTAACACGGAGTAACAGCACTGGCTTTCGTGACATTAACGGTGGGTGGTCCGTAACGACATAAGTATTTTGAATAATTTCTTTTCTATCGACTAAATAATAATTTAAGATTTTTAATTCTAATTTATCAAATACATTATGAAAATAAAAAAAGAAAATGATTGTCAGTTTCAACGGGAAAGAAACTATCTTACTAATATTATTAATTCAATCACATCTAAATATCTGCATTTATAGCAGATAGTCCCTGTGAAATATAAGGTATAATGTTTTCCTTGTTTTTTTGTTTTTACATTTATAGGTGAAGGACTTGACTGCACAGCTTATCGAGCATGGGAACCTGGACATCCAAGAAGGTATCCCAATAAGTTCGATTGCGTTGTCATAACTAGACATCGAATGTGGAGATCAGTCCCTTGTAAAAAACAGTACCCTGTGTTATGCGAGCTCATTGCAGGTGGCCCTTATAGAAGAGGATCTATTTTCGCCCCAAAAAGACTATCATAAGTCAATGGTAAATATAACAAGTCATGTTTATTATTATATAAATGTATACGTACACTTAATACCTACTTTTTATATGTATTATATTACCTTTGACTACGTTAAAATCGGTTAGCGGAATACCTAGTTCAATGAGTCTTTAATTCCTTCTCAAGTACCTCCCTGAGATTTAGCAATAAATGTAAACTTACATATGTGTAGTACATTCTATGCCATACTCTCTCATAGTATAGCTGTCTAAATGTGTTGCTATGACAATGTTACACGATGGCCATTCAGGGATTAATGCAATGTACCTAAATACTAACACGATTGCATGTATCCTGGCCTAACATTGATAAGGATATACTAGATTATATACGATGGTCAGTGGCGTGACTACAGGGTGGCAAGTCGGCAAAATACCAAGGGCTCCCAGCTGGAAGCGGCCCCGGTCAGAGGAGACGAATTAGTCCTGACCTTTATTATTACGCAATTAGTAAAACGAAATTGAATATCCGATGAATTTGCCCCGGGCCTCAAACGGTATAGTTACGCCACTGACGATGATGTTCCTTAACCACGAAACAAAATATCAACAGAGCACAAATCTACTCTTAAGGAGCTACCATCCGAATCTTGATATAGATTACATATCGATTTGCCCATTGCTTGAATATATTTGGCTTATTATCATGAATGCTTACTCAAAGTAGCTAGAAGGTCTTGTTAAACTAACAAAACTAGATGGTGTATTTTCAACTTTCGGTTTTCCTAATTATATAGTAACAGACAACGGACCAGAGTTTATTTCAGAAGAATTTAAAAAGTACTGCAATCTTATCGGAACAACACATATCAAAATAACATCTTATCATCCCAAAAGAAATGATTCAGCTGAACGAGCTGTACGTACATACGTTCAAGTAACATTATATTAGCATTAGATAAGAGCATTGATTTATATAAACGTTTAAATGACTTTTTGCGAGCATAAAGTAATGTTTAACAGAAGAATGAGAGCAAGCTTTGATTTGTGGAAACCAAATCACTGACAAGTTAGAGAAAGTTCAACAACAATTAGTTAGACAATAACTCTCAAACCAAATAATATAAAAACTTCACATTTTATAAAATATCTAAATCCAGTCAAGGCTTCGAAAGATGGGGTGGGTAATAACAATAACCCGACGGGTAGCCGCTACTTGCCAGCTACCATCAGTAACGATCCTGCAGCAGCATCCACCTCGTCTACCAGCTGCTCAGGCCAAGCGGCTCAGAATGGAAAAATCCAATGGAAAATACAAAATTATTTAATTTAAAGTACATATATTCTTATTAAAACTCTGAACCTTGACATAGAAGATAAACTACTCTTAATAAGCTGTATGAAATAGATCATCATGCTTATATTAAAAGCAACTATTAATGTCATATCAATGTCAATTTAGTATTATATAGTAGCCAAACATACAAGAACTTCTGACGAAAACTGATACATATTCAGCATTATATACATACATATTTTCAATCCTCAAAGATATTTAATTTAAAACTTGGCGTTAGCCTGCACATTAAAGAAAATTGAAAAGACTATTAAAGTATGAAGTGGCTGTATGGATGAAAGTCCTTTGCCTACCCTGAAATGGATGAAAATTTAAAACAAAAAGCTGACTGACAGTTTATAAACAGGTGAGGTTTTGTTTTAATTTGATTTGCACTATTTTATATTACAATAACTTCACTGAATATATTTAAATAATCACAATAATGGGTCAAGGCAAAAGTCAATTTACCGAAGAAGAATTACAGGATTATGAGGTACGTATTGAGGCTATCAATGCACACTAAATAACAGCGACTTAAAGTCATGAATCATTCGTTTACTTTGTTTACTGTTTCAGGATCTTACATACTTCACAAAAAAGGAGGTCTTGTTGTGAGTGTTCCAGACCATTTCATATTATCGATGTTTGTGAAGTGTAGTTTTATAACAAAATAACATTATTTCAGCGCACATCAAAAGTTTAAGGCGTTAGCACCAGAAAAAGTCGGTCACAACAAAAACGCAAAGTTACCGATGGCAAAGATCCTTCAGTACCCCGAACTACGAGTAAATCCTTTTAGAGATCGAATATGTAAAGTGTTTAGCTCAAGCAATGATGGGGATTGTACATTTGAAGACTTTTTAGACATGATGTCCGTTTTCAGTGAAATGGCTCCAAAAGCTGTAAAAGCTGAACATGCTTTTAGAATATTTGGTAAGCGAAGTTTTTTTTCATATAAATGAGATTTAGTTATTTGTAGATATTACTGAAAGTAAAAATAAATAAAACCTTCTTGAACTGAAAACACATTTGAATACTCAGATATCCTTCTTCCCACCATATATTTATGTTTATTGCTAATCAACAAATGGATAAAGCTATATAATCCAATACAAAGAATATGCCTGACTTTAATGAACTTCATAAAAACATCTACATCTACAGTTCATCTTTAAATGTTTTTAAAGATGGAATATGTAAATTAAAAATGGGATAGATATATATTTTTTTTGTATTATTGTTTTGGTTTTATTATTATTATTTATTGATCTGAGGTTTTTTTTTATATTCACTTAATTATGAAAGCTAATTAATATTTATTTTATAGCCAACTTTTATTTTATTTTTTTTTTATTATCAAAATTATAATGTTTGCCTTGATTTTGTTTCATGATGTTGTGTACACATGTCATTGGAAGTGCAACTTGACATGCTGCATTATTATGTGATGACTTATTTATTGATGTCACTGTACTTGTTTGTGTACTGAATAAATTAAAAATATGTCTAAACATTTAAGTAGTTTCTACTATAGCTATGAAACAATGTTAATATCTACATCTATTCCAGTATCTGCAAGACCTGCTAAGTACCACTGGCACAAATTCAAATGTACATAAATAAAAATATAAAATGTACATACAACTCTCATAACCATTCCACTTACATAGGTTTTGCCTCTCTACAGAGCATCCCTGGGAGTTATTAGACCTTACAGTACCAATTGGCATATAGCAGCATGAACTATAACAATGGACAACCATAAAATAATGCCCAATTCTATTAAATAGTTTCAATTTAATTAAAGGCTTTGCTATATAATTATATTGTATAAGTGTGTGTATAAATGTATGTATAGAAATGTTTTCTTTTGCCCATAATCTGATATTTCTATAATAAATATTTGCCAAAAATTATGGGCAAAATTATTTGATATTTATATATAATTTTTGGCGCTGTAAATATTTATAACTTTTTCCAGATTTTGATGGAGATGACATGATAGGTGTGTCAGATCTTCGAGAAGTCATTGAGAGACTCTGCGGCCCTGACCTTAAACTCAGTGATTCTGAGATCCAACAGCTTGTGCAGAATGTACTAGAAGAGGCAGACTTGGATGATGATGGAGCATTATCATTTGCAGAATTTGAACATATTATTGACAAAAGTTCTGATTTTTGCAAGTAAGTAATACAAAATAATTTCTTTTTATAATTCTACAACGATTTTTATTAAATCTAAGTATATAATACTTTGACTTTAATTCAAATTAAAGTATTATATAAATTGAATGAAAAATCATTGTTGCTTTAAATTTTTAGAAAAAATAATCTAGATATGTGAACCTCTCCTTAAATAAAGGCTTCTTTTTATCTTTTCCACTTCTCCCAATCTTTCTACACTCATTCAACCCTTTCCTACTATTTCAATGTAATATTATTGTTCCTTTGCTTTCAAAACAATCCTAGTATGTAAAATTTTAGTTAATCTTATCTATGATATAAAGAACAGTTATTTTTCTGTTTCAGCTCATTCAGAATAAGACTGTAAATAATAACAAACATTCCAATGTCTTGATAGTCTTGGGAAAATAGAAAAGGGAGGGTGCAAATGCTGTCCTTGATGTCAGAAGCTCAAATAGTTCTGAAATAATGCAGTACATAAAAACAAAATTGTATTTCAATACAAAAGTTGTTAGAAATTTCTGGCGATAATCATCATGAAAAATAAATACTTTTCTATATAACATTTCTATTATGATGATGGCAATCTTGATTCACTTATATTAACAACAAAGCTATTGTATATTGCTGTAATCTTGTGAATTTTATAGGAACCATTCAGTCCAATAACAACTTTATAGCTCACACTCACACAGGCTCAGTAGATGATATTTTTTATTGTACTTTACATTTGAAATTGTTGAATCTTATAATGATAATCTCTTTTCTAATGAAATATTATAAACTAAGAATTTTACACTTTTTATCTTAAGTATGTCTACTTAGTTGTTAATCAATTTATTGTGTTGTTTAAGTAATAATGTCTTCCTTAATTTATAGTACTTGAAATTATATTTACCCATGACACTATATCTGTTGATTATCTCATTTTGTACATTTGTTTAAGAATAGTTTATAATTATTAAGACTTCAGATTAAGTCTTTATTAATGAACTGCCAAAAATAAATTATTGTGGTGTAAGAGATTACTTTAATTTTTAGTTCCCCGATCCTCAACTTTAATACCTATTATAATAGGCAAAAATAATAATTAGATAATGCGTTTTCTTGTTAAATTGAAGTGAATAAAATTATGTTTATAAAACTAATATTATTATTCTATTATCTGAGGCTAAATAGATTCTTTTCTATACAGTTGTCATACCTAATTATTCTTCTTTATATTTATCTAACAATTTACAATTAAACAAATATTTACACTAATCATGTAGATTACTCAGATCATTGAAATCTGGAACTCACATTATGATAAATAAATCTGAAATATCAAATGTATGTAGTAGCTCGGTGGGGTAGTGGATAAGCGCCGCGGCCCACGATCGTTATCGTTAAGCAACTTTTGCAAGGGTCGGTCACGGGATGGGTGACAAAAAAAATATTATTTCGAGCTACTCCGTGCTTCAGAAGGCACGTTAAGCCATTGGTCCCGGCTGCATTTGCAGTTGTTAATACCCTCCAATCTGCATTGGGCCAGCGTGGAGGGTCATGGCCCATCCTCCTTAACCATCCATAAGGAAGGCCTGTGCCCCTACAGTGGGGACGTAAACTGGTGATGGTGATGATGTGATGACCAAATGTACCCCAAATTCCAAACCCCAATACAATGTACAAAAGTTGTTTCTACATTGACCTGATCAGAAACTAACCTTGGGACCTGAGTGTCAGTGTACATATGTAAGTTTTAGTAACTTAAATATCTAGTTTTCTTAGAACAAAATAAGAGACCCAATAAAGAATATAAAAATATTTATTCAACTAAATACAAAAAAGTTCGAAATAATAACGTTATTAAAAGAACTGCTTACATAATTATAGTGCTAATTTTGCAAATACCCTGGCAGTTTCATTCGCATAAAGATCCATGTTGTGAAAAATGAGACCAGAATACAAAGGAATGCGACAGAAATTAGTAAGATCCTATTTAGTTTAGGGGTAGATGGGTTGTGTGTTCGATCCAAAATAATAAAGCCCAGGCCTCCAAGGGAGAAAAGAAAGCTGGATGCTAGACCTTCCATGATATACTGTCCATTTACTCTGTTGGGCATGAATGCGACAGGTCTGCTGTGGCCATGTTCATCAGTTGTTGATCCGACACTTGGGGGCTCAACGATGACATCGTAAATTATACCTGTAATATTATAATCACTAAGTATCTCTTAATCATTCATATAGTGTCACTTTACAACAAAGCTTCTTAATTTAAAATAGTTATAATAGTCTACGTTATTGTTACAATTATTATGCCCTTATCGGATTCTTATTTGAAAGCTTTAATACACCAATGCTAACCTCCAGTGACTAAAAAGTACGACATTAAAACAAATGAGAATGTCGTCATTGCCGACGGCGCCTGCAACCATGATGGTTTTTTGATCTTTATGTTAGGTATTTCCAACACCGTGAATGGTAAAGTAAATAATGCTTCCATTTTATTGCTAAAATAAAAATCCGGCTAAAACTTGTATCGACGTCTACAAACCGTTGACACATTGACAGTTCACTGACATAAAAAAAAAATGTAATGCGACGCAAAAGGAAATCTAAACCATAAGTACAGTCCTATGTTAATATTTTTTTTTAATTTAACATCTATCCTAATACTTTTTAGTTTTAAATGTTTTGAGATATCTTGCTCATATAGTCTGATAATAGAGGAAACTCAAGTACTCCATATTCTTTCTCACATTGACTGATATTATATAAATACATCCAAATAACTATACTAAAAAGATTGGCATCTGTTGAAACAATACAATAACTACCAAAAAAACTCAGATCTACACAATATATGTTAACTTAAAAAAGTTCAATAATTATATATACTGCATAAAACAGATCATATCACCGACTATAAACACACATACAAACAACCAATGAGAATAAGTAGTTATTCTAAATGTTTAAATGCTATTGGCACAAATAATAATGTTTTTTTTTACTTCACCAATCATGTATCAGAATTTTTGTATTTTTTAAATCGAATTTTTCGCCGAGTTGCCAAAATTCATATGTCAATGTCAAAATTATTCGATTGAATGAAGTACGTTTCCCATTTTTCACAGAATTTCTGTGCACCAGCTGTTTCACAAATTGTAACCGTCTAATAGTAAATCATGTATAATAAATGTATGTAATCGTGGTCAAAATGTGTTTCAAATATTCTTTGTTAATCCAATCTGCGATTATTTTCTTGGACGTTGTATAAATACTTTAATTTTACGCACAAAATGAACTGTACTGTGGATATTTCACTAATACTACGATGAAGGGTGGGTTATGTATAATTTATACGTCGTTACTGACTGTATCAGTAATTTCGAGGTACGTACGATATTACTAAAATCGTTTAAAGTTTGAAAGAATCATATTACTAACTGCGACTATTCCTTTTCAGTTGCGCCCTCTTCTTGCTGGTAGTATCTGAAGCACTACAAGCTGAAGTCGATACTGAGGGAAAGGTTGATTTGTCTGGACTTCATAACATTAGTAATAAAGTGACTGGTGAAAATAGTGTACATGAAAATGAACCAGATGGAAGTAAAACTAGTGAAAAGACACCTGGTGAAAATAAACCTGTACTACAGGATCAAGAGATGACATTTGCTGAAACATTGTCCCTAAATTCTGTGACAACTGATGGGTAAGTACATTATAAGTAATTATTCTGTGAAGAAGCTATGGAATTGAAAATTATCAAATAAAATAGTAACAAACCTCAATGTTTGCTATATTCTAAGCTGTAAATTCCCCTTGACCATTTTGAATAATTATTATTATTAACATTAACAATGTGAAATGAAAATATTGATGATGGAATTTAAATAGTACTTTAGCATACACAATATTAACTTCGCCAATACACAACTCACTTTAGCATGGAGAAAATCCATTTTTTGTAACATTTTTACCATTTTTTAAAGATCACCTACTGAAAGAGTGATTATAATGGATATAACTTTCTAAAATTCTAAAAATAAAGTCAATGCATGCATTGTCTGAACATTTGAAACAATATGATTAATTGAAAGTGAAAGGATTTGTTCTACCAGTCTTTGGTTTTTCAGTTTTTACACTTTTTTGCCATGATGTCGTCTTAATTGAGTTTATAATTGATTGGTTATTTAATTGCAATGGTGTTGTGTCTTTCAATTAGTTGAAAGAGCATTAAATGATGAATATATGTTGATAAAATTGTACAGTTTCTGCTTAAAGAATAAGTTATATTAGATTAACTATATTGTTTCAGGATTGGGTGTTTTGGTAAAACACCCTGTCCTTTCACTGTTTAAAATTTCCACAGTACAAGTGCTTTAGCTTAATTTGGGATCTCAGAAATGTATATGATGGATTCATATACTATCTTGTAGCTTAAAATCAGCATTAGCAAACATTAAGATGTATATTTACATTGTAGTACAATTATCTTTATGAACTTCATTTATACATATAATGGCATGTCTTTTTTAAATAAAGGACCAATAAATGCTTCTTCCACAGTAGAGGGACATTACACTTTTAGCAATTCTATTACACAAACTATACTAAAATTGAACTAGTCCTGTAAAACTGCATTTTCAATTGTGAAATAACTAATATACAGAATAATAGATTTATTATATTATGGTATACAGAAATACATGAAGGTCTTTGTATTAAATAAAACAGGGAGAATAAGGCACCCTTTGCTGAGTTTCTTGCTAGTTCTCAGCACAAGGTCTGCCACCATGGATTTGCAAATCAATAGCATACCCTTTGACATTCACAAGTTCTTGTAATAGCCTAAACTGAATAAATGATATTAAATTTGAATATAACTAGCATCTTTGATTTCATGTGATTATGGAATAATTTTAAAAGAGATCCAAATCTAAACTTATTTTATTTTTGGTTTAGTTTATGGAGCCGTACTATACTAATATAATTCATTATGAAGCTGTAACAACATGCTTTAATATGGAAACTGAATGACCTGATTAAATAACTGAAACGAAAATGAAATTCAACATGTTTTATCAGTACAAATTGAACTAATGAATACTGGTTGATGTTTCATGTCCTATTCTTATCACATTAGATTGAAACTATTGGGTGTGTTTAAGTGTGTTTTGGATTAGCGTATATATTCAGTTTTGTTGTGCATTTTGTAAAATTATTTTTACATACTGTGTATATTTTTGACTCTATAAGCTGTTAAATAATACATAAATTGAAAATTTTAAGTGAGCTACTAAAATATTTTTCTTTTTTGGTGTATCTATATCTTCATGCAAGATCTCTTGCAAATTACTCTGTGGATTGTCACAAGACATGCTTCTATCTTTTTTTTTCTTTGAAAGTAGATATGTCCATTAAAACAAAAAAATAAGTAATTCCATTTGTTGAGCTACGTAGCATGCACAATGATAAGGCAGAAAGTGAAAAGTTAAACTTACTACTGTTTTAATTTATAATATATTTGAAAATAGTATTTTGTTTCATTTTTATAATTTTTTATTTAAAAAATCATTTTCATTAATTATTATAAATTAAAAAAATTCTCTTTATGTAAAAACTTGTTGAAATACACATGGATGTTCAGTTTTACTCAAACATATTATCCAGTTCATTTTATTTAAAGAAGATAAAATACATGAATCATTTATTTGTTTACATATTGGCAAGAGAAGTTGATCCCGCATTATTTCGAGTACTATACACTCGCATTTAGAACTTGTGCATTCAACACGGCATTGGTTATTTTTGCCAGTACTTTAAATGTTGTAAAAGTTTTGAGCTAAACTTGTTTCCGACGCCACCCTCTTTGATCAACTATACAATCCCACCCTTGAACCAGAATCCAGTACTTTGCTGTCCCTACTACTGTGCCGACACTATCAGTGGAAAGAAATTTGACCTTTCAATAATCTACCTACCACAAAGTCATTTCGAACTTGCAACTTAAGACTGTAAAAATGGGATTTGAAGCTCCCTTTAAGCAGCCCCAGTCCTTTTGACAGTAGGGTAAATACGCCCCTGCAAACTCCATAGCCTCAAATTATTTATATTACTCTATTCTTCTTTTATTCTGTTTTTTAATAATAATAATATTTTTTATTGATAATACATTATCAGTGAAAATTTCAACTGTCTATCATGATTCATGAAATACAGCCTGCTGACAGATAGACGGACGGACAGCGAAGTCTTAGTAATTAATATTAGTCTTAGTAATTAACGGGATAATTCCCGTTTGATCATTTGGATACGGAACCCTAATAATCAACTGCCTTATTTTAAAATCAAAAACAACCTACCTATGGATGAGCTACACGTAAAGATTTTGTTTTCGTGTGCGGATTATAACTTGAAACGTCATAGATCCATTGGAATGAAAATAGTTGTAAACATTCTCAATTATAACACTTGTACAAACAAAACGGTGTGGAACATCACGTTCGTGTAGCGATTTATGGATTAAAATCTGATTTTGATAAATAATAAAATCAAATAAAAAGTGAAATCTAATGTTTATTTTTTATAGATTCTAATTGGTATTATTAAAATTTCTCGTGAACATAATAATATTTACTACTACAAAATATTTTTTTAAAGAAGTATTAAATGTTTTTATTGTTATGTCTAATCGGTAGTCCTTGAAACAAATCTTAGCACTTTAATTAATAGCAAAACTAAGTAGTACAATTATAACTTTTTAATAACGTATTAAGTAGTTTTTAAATAACTTTTTAAGTACACAAGATACACTATAGAAATAAAAAGGACTCGAAAAAGAATTTAATTTAGTAAAATAAAGTAAATAAAGCTGATAAAATTTACTATAACATGGTATTTATTTTAAATCGCTAAACTAATATAGATTACAAAAAAAATAGGTTTCAAAAGTGTGATACATACTTTTGCAGGTCAGTGTATATGGGTAAGAAAATATCTTCTATTAATTAAAAATCTTTTTGTAAAGATAAAAAGCGGATATGGTGTTAATGCTGTTTACATACGAGATGAACATGTTCACAAAAACATTTCAATACCTAAGTATAGTAACAGCTTGACCAGCTGTTACTATACTTAGGTATTGAAATGTTTACCCGGAACTGTTTGTCTACAATTCAAAATAAGTCTTAATGTAATTCTGGTTAAATTTAAAATGCGCACACTTAGACATTTTGTTGTACATTCTGCTTAATTATAAATATTTGAATAAGTTCGGTAACCACAATATTTTTCTTATTTAGGTAATATTTAATCTACAAAAGGCATAGAGAATCCTCAGACTCAGACGAAACAAATAAACAGTTTGCTGCATTTTTCCATCGATGTTAGGAGCACCAGTTTCAGGTTCCAGGCTACCTTGTATAAAATAAACGAAGATATAACTAAATATAATCATAGTTAGGTTTGGTGGAATCTCTTAGTATTTATCTTAGTTATAAAAATGGAACATAATTATAAAAATAGTCCTAAAATTTTATTTTTTTACACAATAAGTACCTCTAATACTTACGAATAACCTACCAGATCTCGGTGTGGGTACCCCAACATTTGAAGGTTCAGTTGGTAATAAAGCGCGGGCAGATGCAAACATACGTC